TAACAGTTAAATTAGCATTAACTAACAGTGTGATTTATTAAATTAAATCAATTTAATAAATTAAATCAGTTAAATCAACATTAACTATTCCACATAACTAACACTGTGGTAAATTTAGGTTATTGTAGTAAAATGTGGTGTTTTTTATTATTATTATTATTTTTTTACCACTTTTTGAATCTTGTACTTGAATTAAATTTCATTTAAGTTTTTAACAACAGCTACATGTCTTTAATGTTTGAAAATTTCCGCAAAATTTCCGGAAATTTTCAACTTTAATATTTTGCGGAACAAGTAAAGAAACAAACAAATTAATAGTTTGTTTCTTCTGATACTTGTTCCGCAAATTATTAGGGTTGAAAATTTCCGGAAATTTTGCGGAAATTTTCAACGCTAGTTTGATTATATTTTTAAGTTATAAATTACATTTTAGCTATTATAAAGTTGCAGCAGATAAGATAAATAATTTTTGGAACTTTTATTTTGGCAACTAGTATTTATATGCAAGATAAATAAATTTTACTTAAAAATAAATAGTTGCCTAAAACAAATACTAGACAACAATCTTCCTTTTGAATCAGCAAGCAAAATATAAAGGTTTAACTTAACTTTTAAAATTTTTAAAATTTGTTAAACACAGCATCTTTTCGCCATTTTTAAACGCGATGCCATTATTTCAAAATGATAGCCGTTTATATTATTAAAATGACGTCACACTTGTCGCAAGGATAGAGATGTTTTAGTATTTAGCAAAAAAGTCACTAGAATTATTTAGGTTGTATTTTTATGATTACCTTTATTCAATAGGTTCTATTAACTTTAAAGAAAATTTTTTTTTAATATATCAGTGTTTATTGTTTTAAATCGGACAAAGTTAGGGTACTTGGCTTGATCGGGCAAAGTTAGGGTACTATGTCCGCTCGAGTGTTGCAACATAAGAGCAGAAGACTTGACGTAAAGTTATTTTATGCTGATTTTAATGATAACACACCAACAAGGGTTTTTCAGAAGGTTTTTCAGAAGGTGATGTTTAAAACATTTGAAACGTCAAATACCAGAATATGAACCCCTCAAAAAGATAGTAGTACATCAATTATAAATATATTTTAATATAATTTATCGTTTCTAATTCTAAATCATTTTAGTTTTTCATTTTCCTAAAATAAGTTATTTTTTAAAATGAAGTTGAAATTGAAGACTTATATTTGCAGATTTTCATAATTTAGTCTTTCCTCTTAAAGATAATAAATATAAAATAAAAATAAAAAGATAATAAATGAAGTTTCCTAAGATGAACTTTTTTAATGGAACTCAAAAAAACTCAAAATAACAAAAAACTAATCCCAAAAAAAAAAAAATTAAATAACATTGTATCTTTAAGGAATATACTAAAGTAAAAAATAATTATTAAAAACAATATGATAAATTATTGAAAACAATAATAAATCTTTCCCATCTCTAATAGATTTTGCGATACAATTTTTTTAAAAAATCTTTGCTCTTGAAATACCAAAATAAAGCTCCGTGGAGAATAACGCTAAAAAAACGCGCTTTTCTTAATAAAAAACCGCATCTCATCTTCTGAGCGTCTCAAAACGTATCATCATAGGCGACTTCACCAACCACTATCATAATTTAAACAGCATAACAACAGCTCATATTCATCTCATATAATATATAAGATATAAAGTTTCAAAATTTCCACCAAACTTTGTATTAGAAAAACGTAATAGTAAATTTTGAATTCATATATAAATTTCACCAACGTGTTTTTTACACAAGGTTACGCAGAAATTTAGTTCAATTTAAATAATAACCTTATCTAATTAATTTAATCTTCAATTAGTTATTTAAAAGTATTTTTAAATAACTCATTGAAGAATTAATATTTGGGGATGAAGAAGCCGTTTTAATTATTTTCAAAAAGCAGTTGACCATTGAAGGTTTGTATACTGACACGGTTACAGTAAGGCTTGAAGTGAACAACTTAAAAATGTTTTTTTTAAATCTTTAGAGCTTCTATCCATCAAGGAGTATTCCCAGAACAATTAGAAATTGTAAAAGTTATTCCTATTTTAATAGAAGGGAACAAACCTGAAATCAGTAATTATGCCCATCATGTTCTCTCCACATTTTTGAAAATTCTAGAAAAAAATATGTTTAACAGAGTATACAAATGTTTTCATAATAATAATTTACTTAACATTAATCAATTTGGTTTCAAGAAAGATAACTGAACATGCAATTATCCAATTTGTACGTGAAATCTCAAAATCATTTAAAAAATGGCAATATACCCTAGGAATTTTTATTGACCAATCAAAAGCTTTTGTGACGGTCAATCACCATATTTTGATTTATAAACTCAAATACTAAGGAATATAAAATAAAATTTTAAAATGGTTTAAAAGTTTTCTATCTAACCGAAAACAATTTGCACCATTTAACAATGATTATCAACCCACTTTTCTTAACATAATCTGTGGAGTTCCACAAGGTTCAATTCTTGGACCACTTCTTTTTTTAATTTATATAAATAACTTAAATAAAGCTTCAAAACTAACGAGCATTATATATGCAGATGATACAAACTTATTCCTTTCTAAGATATCGCTGAACTTTTTAAAACAGTGAACGAAGAACTCAGATAGTATCTAATTGGTTCAAGTATAATAACCTTGAATACTAATAAAACAAAATGGGTTTTATTTCATTCGATAACAAAAAAGCGATTTTTCCCATCAAAATTACCTCAAATCTATATCAAAAGGTAATAAAAAGAGATTTATCGATCAAAAGTAAATAAAAAGAGATAAGAAATCACTATTGATCAAAAAGAAATAAAAAGAGATTCCAATATTGCTTGAGGAAGTACATAAAAAAATAAGTTGCAATGCCTTTGTCTCCGTCAGAAACGTGCAATCCGTATAATCAATTTTGCAAATCGCTTCTCTAATTTGAAGCATTATTTTATTGAATAGAGAATTCTGAATATATACGAGTTAAATGTATTTAATATTTTGTTTATATGTGTATAAATAACTTATCCCTAGCCGTCTTCAAAGATCTTTTTACTTTTAAACCAATCAGTAAATATATTTTGAGAAATAATAACTTTTTAATTGAACCTTTTTGTCAAACAAACTTTAATCCATTTTGTATAACCTATCAAGCGCCACACCTTTGAAATAAAATTACTTGCTTTTTGCCTCTTAAAAAAACAACAACTGAAATGTGGATAACTAACTTATCTCTAGCCGTCTTCAAAGATCTTTTCTTTTTTAAAAGAATCAGTAAATATATTTAAAGAAATAATAACTATTTAAAAGAACCTTTTTGTCAAACAAACTTTAATCAGTTTTGTATTACCTATCGAACGCCACACCTTTGGAATAAAATTATTTTACTGAACTTTATTTTTGAAGTACCTTTTTTTAAAAAAAATATATTTTGGTCTACTTTTACATTGTTTATATACATGTTTACGTTTATAGAAGTTTATTTCTACTTATTTTATTTATTGTTTTTATAACTTTTTAATTTATGTATAAAATTCTGATGAGAAGATCCTCTTGATCTTTCTTTAGACACAGATTATTTACCTTATAAATTTGTAAAAGTTTATTAATTTTTTATTATCTTTTCCTTGTTAAATGCTTATTTAAGGTTTTGACGATAAGATCTTCTTTCAGATACCTTGTTTATATTTTTTATATTTTATATCATTGTAAGTTTAATATCATTATTTTTATTATTAGTTATATAAAGCTGTACAAAGACTAACCATTGTAACCAAAAAAAAACAACGGCTCGTTGCTGAACGAAAGTATTGAAATCCGCATAAATTAGTTATAAACTATTGGTTTCGGCGGGTCTAGTACTCTATTAGACACAAGTAGTAGTTATACCAACTCTAGACACTAGTAGTAGTTATACCACTCTAATCAATTGGGACCGAATGTAGTTGTTACTTTTTTGATGATACGGCTCGCGTTAACAAGCCAACAAAAAATAGTTATACACTCATTAAATTGGCCTTCTCCACGGAAATCTTTAGTAAAAGGCGAAAGATTTGTACGAGAATGAAGAAAGCCCAGAGTTATCAGATTGATACAATTAAAAATCATAAAATGTTTATACATTAGTATTGCTTGTGGGTGTGTATTACACTAAAGCTTTTTTTTGTATTTACACTATTAGCTGGTTTTACATGATTTTTAACTGTTCTAAGTTATTCAAATTAAAACATTTTGCATAGAGTTAATTTAAAAGATTATTTCGAGTTTTGATGTTTAAAAAATAATAGGGGTTATAAATTACAATAAATAATTGGCGGTTAAAAATAAACTGGGGTCACAAATTATAGTAACTAACGGGATAAATTATTTTAGAAATAATCTTATTTTAATTTTAACAAAACGTTTTCAATATTTCAACTTTTAAACGCTTTAAATCACTCCTCAAAATACTTTTTTGTTTACTTTCATATAGATAGTTTTTATTTCGACAATCCCAGACCTTCCAAACTTTTTTTTTTAAACCTTGTGATTTAATGAGACTGATACGAAAACCTGAAAAAATGTAAAATCTAAAAGAGTACTTTTTCTTAGTTTGGTTTTAAAAAGTTTTTTAAAAAATATTTAAACTAAGGGTTTTTAACGTTATAATATTTGTCAAGGAGTGTACAGATAATTGCTTCTTTTCCAATGATCTCTATACTCCTTGATGATTACAATTTAATTTTTTAACAGAAGGAACTGTAAAACTAGTAAATGTAATTTTTTAACAACTAGAACAGTGTTTTCTGCACACTATGTTGCTGAATTTATTTTTATATTTTTGCTTTGTCACCGTTTTTAGTCAAAAGGATGTTTATGAAGGACGGAAAAAAATGGAGATTTATAATATAAATCTCCATTTTTTCCGAAATATTACTTCGGTGCTAGTTTAGATTTATTTCAAATGTTTTATCTTTTTTTTTTTTTAAATTTTTATTTTAGGTACCCCAAGAAATCTTTACGGTCATATAAAAGAGAACGGCGAAAAAGCATTCGAAAGCATCCTTACGGATGTTAAAACCTTCCCAGAGGTGGCGTTGAGCCAAAGATCTCTAGCTTCTGGGACAAGCGAGCTAACCACTGTGCTACGGCTACTTATTATCAGTCATACCAAATTTTTCAAAATTTTCTGAATAATTTACCATGAGAATTTTAAGTCAATAGTGAGATCGCGAGAATTGTAATTTAACCGTGAGACGAAACCTAGAAAGTTGGAAGATCTGCAATTGTTACTTAATTTTTTTTTTAATAATTATTTAAATTTTTTTTAATTGCAATTATCTATTCAAAAACTTATGTATAAACGTTTCTATTTAGAATGCGCAGTTAATTCCCAGTTGGCAAGGTATGTAAAAAATACGTCTTTTAATCGTCTTTTGAGCGTTTTGGACGTCTTTTGAACGTTTAAAAGACGCCATTTAAGGTCCTGTGCCCACTGGGTTTAAACGATTCTTAGTAACTAAAACTAATTAATTCAATGAAACAAATAGGCGAAGGTTGCATTGGATGAGCAAGTTCCTAAGATAGTATAACTTTATTTACAGATAAACTACTGATATTTTCCGAACCTTTTTGGCTAAGTATATTCATACAAGTTTGACGGTGTTATTTATTTTAATTTCTTGGTTGTATAGTTAATGCCCTTTTATTGTTTTATTGTTAAAAAAATTTACCATCCGCGTTATAATTTTTTATTATTCAATATTTTGAAATTACGTCAGAACAAAGAAAGATCATTAAAAGTTTATTATATACTCAATATTTTATGCTTATCTACTGCTAATTCCACGGGTTATATGAGATAATACATAAGCTATTGTTATGCTGTTTAAAATATGATAGTACTTGGTAAAGTCGCTTAAGATGATACGTTTTGAGACGCTCAGAAGATGAGATGCGGCTTTTTATTAAGAAAAGTGCGTTTTTTTAAAGTTATTCTCCACAGAGCTTTATTTTGGTAGCTTAACAGAGTTGTTAACAAAACCAAAAGTAGCAAGGCCAAAGTCAGGGTTAGGATTTAGGGTTAGGTTTAGGGCGACATGTTACAAGGCCAAGACCAAGGCTAAAGGTTACAAGGCCAAGGACGAAGCCAAAGCCAAGGGTTTTGAAGGTAAAGGCCAAGAATAAGAGTTTCAAGGACAAATCCTACGCAAACGTTTTCAAGACCAAAGATTTAATTTTTGTCTTACGTTAAGGCAAATTATTAACAAAACTATAAGTAGCAAGTGCTGTGACAATAAAACCACATGTTGTAAAAATAGACCAAGGTTATGCGCAGAGCTCAACGAAGTCAATAAGAAAATATACTTGTAGATATATATGAAAGCCGGAAAAGAAAAATACATAAAAATAAAGAAAGAAAACTTTTAATTCTTTAATTTTATGTATTTTTTTTTGAAGGCCAAGGCCTAAACAATCAAGGCGAAGTCCAAAATTTTTAAGGCCAAGACCAAGGCTAAGGACTAACAACTCTATTTCAAGAGCGAAAGTTTTTTCAAAAAATCGCAAACTTTTTTAAAGAAGGAAATATTTGTTAATGTGTTTTTTATGGTTGAGATAATTATTTTTTACTTAAGTATAGTCCTTAAAAATATAATTTTATTAAAATTTTTTTTTTTTTTTGTTATTTTGAGTTTTTTTGAATTCCATTAAAAAAAGCTCATCTTAGGTAACTGGTTTCCTAAAATGAGATGATTGGGTGTGAAATGACGCAATTTTTGGTATAAAGATTTTTTTTAATGAACTATTCATTTATTATCTTTAAGAAGAAAGACTAAATTATGATAATTTTCAAAAATAAAAATAAATATTATAATATTTTGGCTACAAAAAACAATGCACTGTTAACATGCTTAACTTATGCAACCTTCCCCTAGTTATCAGTTGTAGAATAACATTTACAAAAATTCTTATTTCACTTTTTTAACGTTTAGACTCAAGTATAAAATCTAAATTTAAAAAGCACTTCATTTTAGTAATAGTTTAAAAAAAAAAAAGGGCTTTAATAATGCAAATAATGTTCTAATACTCGTAAAGACTATCCCAATGGACATAAGAAGTCTTTTGAACATCTTTTGAACGTTCAAAAAACGTCTATATTTGCAGCAAAAAATATATTTATGGAACAATATTTAATTAATAAAAAAACAAAAGTATACAGACTATTTTTGACTATTAATATAATTCTGAACATGAGTGTACACAAATATAGCGCATTTAGACTTTTTCAGTTTGTTGTCATTTACAATACTAAAGCAAACTAATAACTCAGTATCCAGTTTTTCACGTTTTGGGTACATTTTTGTGCAATAGTTCGATTTTTATATTTTCTTAAATAATATTTTAGGTTAGAATATTATTTTGATTTGTTTAAGCAATAAAATTACTATGCAATGTTATCACAAATAGTATGTGCGCAAAGAAGTTCAATAGTTTTTTTTTTTTAAATTAGCAAACGTTCATCAACTTTTTAATTTCCTGTAAATAATTTTGTTCAGTAATTTATTCCATTGTATATTTTGCTTATATGTGCACTGTATAGATGATGTAGAACTATAATTTAAGCGTATTCCACACTTACCTAGTGTTTCCACGCTTCTACTATAAGAAAAAACAATTAAAATGAGAGTATAAGAAAAAACAATTAAAATGATAACTAAATTAGTTATAAAAATTTAATAACTAAATAAGTTAGGAAATAATTAAATCCAATTGAATTAGCTATGGCAGGAAATTTTTTTTCTTCTTAGATTTAGAATAAATATCTCACTTTATAAGTCATAGAATTGAACGAAAAGCATCAATTTTAAAGCTCAGCCAGCTGTTTTTTTGTCGTTATAAATCTTGGTAATATTAGTTTAAAAATAACAATTTTATTTTTATAAGTTCTCTATTACAATTACGTACTTTTAACTATTTTAAGTACCGTATTGTACTCAAGTTTGAAAATTACAAAATAGTTTATCAGTAATCATTACATTTGAGAATAAATAACGATAAGTGGATTGCATGATCAAATGCTAAAAATACCTCGTTTTGTTTAAATTATCTCGTGTTGTTTAACCAAATGAGTTGATCTCTTTAACTTTAAGTGTTTTCGTTTAATTAAACAAACTTTTTAAATATTCAATAAAATCAAAAAGACTTAAACAAAATGTAATCTACAATATATATATATATATATATATATATATATATATATATATATATATATATATATATATATATATATATATATATATATATATATATATATATATATATATATATATATATATATATGTATGTATATATATATTTATAATATGTGTATAACATATATATTTATAAATATATATATTTATAAATATATATATATATATATATATATATATATATATATATATATATATATATATATATATATATATATATTAATACTTCTAAGTAGTATTACTAAGTAATATGATTTTTAGTTCCTAATTTGTTAAGGGCAATGGACACATTTTTGTATTAGAGTTTACTTTAAATAAATGGAGGGAATATTTAACTACTGACGATCTCTAGATTATTTCAAAAGTTTCGAAGATTTCTATGGTAAGATTGAAAAAATATGCATATAGTTCGAACAAGTTGACATGTTATAACAATCATTTTTTTTTTCTTTTTCTTTTTCAAAATCATAGTCTTAGATCTTAGTCTTTAATATATATTAAAATATAATCGGAGTTCGGAAAGTGCATCATTTTTATTCGGAGCCGGAAGAACCATTATTTTGGAATATTTTAGTAACATGTTAAGAAATTCAAGTGTAAAAAGTGCCCTAAACTCTGACTTAAAAAAAAAACATTAAATATGAAAATCAAATTAATAAATGATCAAGAAAATTTTATAAAAATTACTTTGTTTACATTAATGCAATTAGACAAAATGTTTAAAAATAAATAAAAGCATCTTTTTTTAATTTTTGCTACGTGCTTAGATACTATTATATATTACGATAAACATATATATTGCTATTATTATTTTTGCTACGTGCTTAGTTGACATATTTTTTTTCTATTTTGATAAAAAAAAAGGTTTATCTTTAAGGTTATCTAGAAATAATAGGTTATCTAGTCGTTATTGTTATTAAAGTACAAGAAGATTAAAGTGGTTCATATTTAAAACACCTAAAATAAAACGATGAATGAAAAACATTTCATCATAATATCATTTGAGAACAAAGAGCGGTAAGATATTTGGATAAGTTAAATCGATCGCCACTCTTTTAAAGATAAAGGGTTTAGCAGAGCTTTACAAATTTGTTTTGTGTTGCGAAATAAATTGAGTTAGATAAGCTGTGCTAATATCGGGAACATCTCTTGAGAATACTGTATGTTGTGTCATATGCACCGATTCATTTAGATTTTATTTAAAAAAAGATTTTAATATAAAACTTAATGAAACAAATAATAAATTGTAAAGATTGTTTCTCTTGGAGATTGCAAAATTTTACTTCAAGTTACTGAGGTAACTGGTTATTTTAAGTTACCGAGGTCAATTAAAGTTTTAAACAAAAATTATTTGTTAAAAAAAATCTTATAAGCGTGGTTTCGCTGTAATGTTACTGTTGTTACGGCGTTACTGTTGTTCTTAAAAAATATAATAGCACAGTAAAAAAAAAATCTATGGTACAAATAGTAATTATATTGCCCATTGTAAAGCATTCTTAGGTAGTTTCACCATTTTTTCGTACACCCAATCGCTTGACGCTCCCATGCAACGTGCTTTCGGACAAAAGAATTGAACTAAAAATAAATTGATTAACTTAAAAAAAAAATGAACTTCCCAAAGTTTGTGCGACGCAACCACGAATTTCAAAAAGTAATCATACTTGCGTTTTCAATAAATAGGACGGTACATCCGATTAAAGATATAGCTATAAAAAAAGGCATTAAAAGTACAACGGCTAAATATCGTTGACACCCACATCCATAGAACTGATCTTTTTCAAAATCCTCCATAGTAGTCGAACCTAGTAAAAAATGTTTAACCAAAAAAAATATTAATATGGAACGAAAGGTTAGAATTGTGCTAAAAATCAAAATAATTTTTGTCAACAAAACTAAAAGACTAAAATAAAGTAAAAAACAAAATTAAATACAAAACAGCTAAAAACAATTACAAGTTTTCTCAAACTATTTTTATTAACATTAAAATTTTTTCAATGCTATTTTCAAAAAACTACTTTTTTTTTAACATTGTGTGTGTATTTTTTTACAAAATATTGCTTTAAAAACATTCCGAAATAACATTTTTTAAAAGAAAAAAAAAATTATGGGAAAAAACTTTTAAAGTTAAATAAATAAAAAAAAAATTCTATTGGGAACAACATGTAACGGGAAATCGTGCGCTGTCGACTTAAGACAGGGTACTTTAAAAATACCACTGTACTGGAGCAATGCAAATACCATTATTAATATTTGATAAAATCAATATTAAGTAAATTTCAAAGGTTTCAGGTGGGGATCCTTTCAGAGTAGGACTCCACAAAAGTCAGGGTGATTGAAACAAAACCTTCTTAAATTTTTTTTAAACAAGGTTAGAAACCATCGTCAGATGATAGAGTTTAACAAAAAAACTTTTTGGCGTTTAAAAGTCGTGATCTTATTAGTTAAATACCTTCTCCTCCCTAACTTTGAAAAAACTTTTACAAAAAAGATTTTGTTGCAGAAAATATTTTTGTAAAAATACCTTGCACTTTAGCTCACACTGACAATTTTCCAACTCAACCACGGCTTAAAATAATTTATAAGCTACATTTTCTGAAAATAATTTTTGTTGGTGCCAAATTAACATTTTTATTACGCATATTTTTAGCCTAACAAAAAAAACAAAAAAAAAAAAAACAACACCATAAATCAGCCCCTCAATCTGCAAACGATAATTTATTTTTATTTTACTTTTATAAACTAGTAATTCCTGAAATTGCGATATGTGCCATATGAGCCATTCCCAATAGTAAATAAGCAAAAAGGAACCAGTGCAAAGAGGGACCGTGCTCTAAGAGTACCGTAATGAATTAAGAATAAGCGATAAACCTCTAGCCTTCTGATTTTTGGAATAGAAAACAAAATAATAAAATTTAAAATGATCTATTTATAAACTTCAATTATTTACAGCTGTCTGAGTTATAATATATAAGCAATAAAAACAATATTTACAATTTTCATAAATAAAATAAAATAGAATGAGACTTAATTTTAACTACCACAAATGCGAAAAACCGTCTTTAACAGAAGTTGTGTCTGCACCATTTTCTATAAGTAACAATGCGCAATCAAAGTTTCCATACGCGACCGCGTATTCAAGCGGAGTATGTTGACAGGAATCACGCGCATTGATTCTTGCACCGTACGCAAGTAAAAGTTCTAAACAATCCAAATAACCGGCTGCTGCGGCTACATGTAAAGGAGTATTACCTTCGATGTTAGTTGAGTTAACATCAAGTCGTTCATCGGTAATTAATCTTCTTGTTTCGTTGAAATCATTATTTAATATTGCGTCAAAAAGTTCTGTAGTATTTTTACTTAATTTATCGTTTGTTATTGATCTTGTACAGCCGCACGAATTATTTATATCAACGTCACAATTCGCGTACGTTGTGTTTGAATTTAAAGACTTTTTTCTTTTTTCATTTAACATTGCACGAACTGTTGAAGGTGACTTCGATGTCATAAATTGTTTGTTGGCGGACAAATCCATCGGATCAACTAACATTTTCAAAAAATCTTTTTTCTTTCAAATGACCTGTTGCTGCTACTTCGAATCAAAATCTTAACTTATGGCTGGGATTATTCGGAACAGATTTATAATAATACTGCTAGTGACGTAACGTAAAATAAACAATAAGGATTTTTGTCGCATAAAAAAAAAAAAAAATCTTCAAATGCTTACGTAAGTGGATAGCAAACAGCACATGTTATTTTCTGTCAATAAAACTCTTGGCCTTTTTCTCAAGCGTTCTCAAATTATCATAGACAAAATTGTCTGGTCGTGACACATATGTCAAAACCTTCCGTACTTTTGATGTATAATTTAACCTTTTCCGATGTAAAAAAAAAAGAAGAAAATAAATGAGACAGACAGAAATGCCAACAGGAAAAGCTATTTTGTCGAGTCTGGTATTGCTAAATGACAATACAAGTTTATTTCAATCTTTAAATGAATTTAGAAACGAAATTTTTAACGTTATTAGAGTTATTACACTAATTAAAAAGTTGCAAATACTGTTGTCATTAAGATTCGTGCATGTTGTCATGTATTCGGTAAAGCTAATTCGGTTATTTGTTTCCTGTTAATTGGATATATTAAATTTTAAATTAGCAAACTTGCGGAATAAACACTCCACCGTGAATGCTTCCGATGATCAACTTTATAACAACTTTTCAAAACTTTACTTTTAAAACAAATTATTTTTTACAACAACTCAGGAACAGCTTACCTACGGACATTTTTTTTTCACATCCTTTACATAATTTATTCTTCGGATAAGATGAAGATAAAGATGTATTCTTGGTTAGAACAAAGACCTAATGCGGTTGTTATAATACTAACTTTTTTCATGCAAAATATATATATTTTTTACATCAAATCTCGTAAAGTTAAATTTAAGCATCCACCATGTTGTAAAAAAAAAAAAAATATGTTAAAAATTTTTAAACGAATTATGTAGCCTTAAATCTGGATTAATAGGCGTAGCGCATATTTTCAATTGTTTTAAAATAAAATAAAAATTAAAAGCGAAACATAAAGCAAATAGTCGGTGGGAAAGTGAACAAATCTGACTGGCAAGCAACCAGATTAGGATAAAAACTGTCTGCATTCATAAGCACGTGTTCACTAACACGTGATCAAGGTTTTATATAGCAAAATGCACAAACAAATCCACATAAATTCATGTTAGTGTTTATAATTCCATATTTTTAACTTAATGATTATTATACTCTTTAAGTGAAAATATATTATATCTTTTCAATTATATATTTCTGTAAGATATAATAAAATATAATGAATCATAAAATAAATATGACTTAAGTGATTACGTTCTTAGCTATATACATTTTAATAACTTTAAGTGTGTGTGTGTGTGTGTGTGTGTGTGTTGGTGGCAATCTGAAGCGTGTGAATTTTATACTAAGTACGCACACGCACTTTTCAAATTCTCTATAACCTCAAAAAAATAATAATAATAAAAAGTTAATAACTTTTTAAAATTTTTTTATATTAAAAAGTTGGTAACTAATAAATATTTTTGCAACTAAGTTTGTATGAATAAATTGCCATGTGCTATTTTTTTGTATTTTATTATAAGTAAACAAATTACGCTCTGGGAATATAAATTGCCCTGCAAAAATAAATATGTTTATTTTTAAATATTATTAGAGAGGCATTTATATAAAACTTTTTAGAAATAACATAGTTATATATTAAGTCTACGTATATGTACACGTTTTGTTGTTTATATTGCACACATTTAAATGTTATTCAAACATCGAAATATAAACTTTCTTATTAAAATTACTAGTTAAAAAAGAGCATCGAACGTTTTATATTACAAGCTTATTAAATAAAGATGAATCTAGAAAAGCACATTCGTAGCTTGATATTGTTTTAGAAACCGCAGATGAACCGTGAAAGACGCATAAAAATAAACAATGTTTTGCGAAGTTCTCAAGAGGTTCATTTTTCAACATATTAATAATATTATAGTATTTCTTTCAATTTAGGAAATTTATTCATTTATAATAATATTTTTTAAATCAACAAAAACTAAGACTTTTTAACAACTCCACCAACCGTACAAGATAAATGAACAAATGTTTAATTAAACTGATACAATGAAAATAGAGAAAAAAATGAAAGAAACAAGAAAAGAAACCCTTATTTCACCAATTTAAAATTAGAAACAGTAACTCTATAAGTAATAACGGCAGTGAAACAAGGGTAGAAAAAATTGGATTAAATTATTTTTCAAAAAAATCTATATAGGGCAAAATAAAGATACAGAAACATTAGATGTTGCTCTAGAAACATTAGATGTTGCTCTAGAAACATTAGATGTTGCTCTAGAAACATTAGGTGTTCCTCTAGAAACATTTGGTGTTGCTCTAGAAACATTAGCTGTTGCTCTAGAAACATTAGATGTTGCTCTAGAAACATTAGGTGTTGCTCTAGAAAAAATTACTTTTATATTTTTTGAAAGGTAATTCAATCTCCCTTTATTTCTCCTTTAGAAATATTTGTACCCGCGGCTAGGGTTCCTAGTAAAAACTTGGTTAAATTCAAACAGCGTTTTTATATAAATATTTAGGACTTCTTAAGGTGAGTTTCCGCTCATCCATTTTTCTGCGGGAACGGGATAGGCAAGTAAAAATAATCACGTGAGCATGCGTAGTTTTTTTTTAAACTTATACTAAGCATGCCCATGTGATTATACTTTCCTTTCCGTTCCCGTAAAAAAATGGATGAGTGGAAACTCGCCTTTAGATTGGCCAAACAGCGTAATATTTTCGGGGGAAACATCCAAACCTCCAGTGCCAGAGTTTCTACAAGTCCGGCCAGAAACTTGCGCTCAATATTCTTTAAGATCGAAAACAATTATTAAAAAATCCTTTTAACCTAAATGATAAAAATGTTATTTTTTTTCTTTTACATATATATTTCTTTTAATACTTTCAAGTTAAAATGTATTTATCATTTTTATTTAAATAATTTACAGAGGGTTATTTGTCGGCGTATTTTATCGCTTTGATGAAATATTTCCGCCATCAAGTTTTAAGCCGAAAAAAAAAAAAAGATACAAATATGAAGGAAATATTACTTTTTTAATTAAGAAACTCATTTTAAATAGAAAAAAATAATAATTGTAAATGTAGAAGTAATATAAATTAATAAAATAAAATTATCAAAAAACAAAATTGTTTCATATGTATGTTACTTTGCTTATTTTGCAAGTGTCGTTGCTTAGCCTTT